TTACCGGGATAGCACTGAACTTGCCGAGCCAAGGACACACAGCAGGTTCATTGTGTTGAGAACCTTGATGTTATGCACAAATGGTAGAATGTTAAAAAGTAAACCCTTTTAGAACACAAGTATATTCCATAAAAAAACAACTTTGTAATGCTGGTATTTTTACCATTTTCACTGTTGTTAATAAGTGTGCTTTGGTCACCCAAGTCCTTCACTCACAAATAGGGTTAGTGCAAGTGATTGGTGTTTTAACTTCAGACATTTCTGTCCAAACATGTGATGGTCATACGTGTTGGGTGTTGGTCTAGCCAGCCGATCTCTTTATGTTGTGTGAAGATCAAAAACAAATCATAATATCCAGACACATCTAAATTATGTAATCCCTGCTCAGTAATTCATTCTCCACTGAAAGCTGGAAGTAAAAAGCTCAATGGCAACATTATTTGCAAATGAAATCTTTTCTGATATTCGTTCTATTACTGAATATAAATCTGTTTTCATTTTTGGCTCTATGACTTTGTACTTTGTAAGAAGAAAGTGATACTGCAAGTCTGGCACTACTTATATTTTACTTTATGGTAGGGGCAGAAACTAGGCATTTCAACAGTATCTATATACCCAATATGCTTTTTATGGAATTAATAGGTATGACAAGAGGCTTGCAAATGTAGGCCAATATACCAGAGTGGGGAAAATAGCAGAAATAGAAAGGTTTTCTGGTTTGGCTGTGTTTGCAATGCTTTTGTCAATTCTCCATAATGCCTAGGCGTTGTTGAATACATGCCAGTATCTTTATTTTAGTCAATAATAATGAATTTGAAAATACAGCAGTTAAGGTAATTTGGCCTTCAGTTTAGTCTGTGTATTACATGACACTCCAGTGTAATGCTACCATGGCTGGCTAGAACATTTGCTTTTGTGCTAATGAATACTAATCCATCTTATGGTCCATAGAACCCTTGGGTGCCTTTTGATAGGAAAGCTTAGAACAAATTATATAGATCTCATCCTTTCTTTTCTTTTCTTTTTTATTTTATTTTACTATTACGTCTTATTGTTTATTGATTGCACTGGCCACTTGTCTTGTGTTCATTTCATTGAATAGCCCTGCAAATGTTAAATGGCTCAGAAATTGAGCCTTTTTTTTTAAATTATGTTTTAGTATTTATTACTTGTCTTCCTTTCAGTACGTTAAATAATACATTATAAACAAACTATGTTTAAGAGCTCAAATACGAATGAATAGCTCAAATAAAGCAGGAAAATGCTTCTTAGATCTAAATTTTTTTGATCTTAGAACTGATTCCCACATTTATTTTTTCCCATTGCTTTGATTTTGGCATAGGGTCTGCTGGGTTTGGAAGTCGTATAATTTGTATTTGTGGACGTTTTGGAAGTGCGCCAAGACACATTTCTCTGTATAGATAATTTATCCTTTTTTTTTTTTTCTCTCCTGTTGTCGTATGTTAGTGTATTTAATAAAGCTGATTTTGTTGTCATTTCATCCACTAAAAATGTCTGTCTATTGGGCCTTATCCTGCTAGCCTTTGTGATGTGCACTCCTGCTATCAATCTGTACGCTGTTCAGCAAACATATGCTGCATGATTAATGCTTGGCTACCATAGGATTTGTCTAATGCACCCATTGCAGTCATTAAAGTAATTATTTTTATACCTCCTTCTGTCCTTGTAGAATGAGTTGTATCAATGTAAATAATAGATCAGTATTTAAGAACAAATTTTTTTGTATGTATATTTCTTTTGACCCTTAATTTGCAGTCCCCATATTTATCTAGTTTTCTTGCAAAATCTATTTTTCTCCTTAGTGGAATTGTTCTCGTCTTTTGGCATATAGTCAATAAAGTTGTATAACGTGTCTCAATAGTCCTAGATTTGACAGGATAGTCCATGTTCAAAGGTCCTGACTTGCCATCCAGATGAATGACAACCGGAAAATGTCTATAGAAAGCACAGTGGGCACATCAGTAGAGGTGCAATGTTAAATACGGTCAGGGCATTAAATGTGTATTGTGTGCTGTACGTAGGGCTGGATAGTGGTTTGTCAGTCTGGCTTGCAAGACTCTTTGTGGCCCTAGTCCCAGATCCATAACTACCTACACATGGGGTGTTAATGTTGCCCTCCCCAGCTCTCGTTGAATTACGTCACCCATAATTCTATTCTAGCCTGGGGCTAGATAATTATCAGAGGTGTAATCAAAACACTGACTGTGCTTCTACAGTTTTATGCCCCTACACTATACATTCCAAGTTTGTTCTACATTATGTGGAGCTAAAATATTTCAGAATGTGTTTGTGTGTGTTTTTTTTTTCATTATCCTGTTAGTAAATCAGAGGTTTGTACAATATGGCATGCCATAATATCACAAGCACACTGCTGAGCTTTTCACAACTTCTTGCCGTGACTTTTAAAGAAGTCGATTTGTACGTCAGTAAGTGTACCAGGCAGGTGTATGTGCTCTCTCCTACATCAATGTTTTATAGGAGTTAATTTCTTTAAAGCGGCTCTGTCAGGTTTGTTTAATTTTCCTAATGCCTCTTATATCTTAATGATTATATACCCCTCTTTGCCACTTTCTTTATTATTTTTCTTCCTTGCTCCAGATCTTAATGCCCGATGTTTGCTCCTTTTTTGGGATTGTTATGACTGATGGATTGTGGGTAAATTAGGTTAGCAATTTAAATGAAACTTTGCTTACGCTCCATTCCCAATATGTTCTAAAGCCCATACTCCCCATGAGCAAAAGTAGTTCTTTTGTCTTATGTATAACAAAAAATAATAAAAAAAATTGAGAAGAGGGACAAAAACCAAAACAAAACACCAAGCCAGTTTAACATTTCACAGCTATACCCTTGTTACCTCAGAAATATCGTGTCTCTCCAAAATTACAAATTAAAATAGAGAATGTTAATTACTTTTAGGGTCTGATAATTATCTTAACTTGGTTATTGTAGCATGTCCTACTTTCATTTTGCTGCTCGGGCAGCTTTGTCACCAAACTATTGTCCTCCTCCAATCTAAAATCAGGTAATGAGTATCATTCGGTTATTTAGCACCCTTATCTAGATTGCTTTACGATGCTGGCAATTCGTTATATAGCTAGGGTTAGAGACAGTAATATATTGTCACAATAATAGCAGAGAACCTTGTTCTGTGTTCTAGAATCTCACAGTTGTAGCTCTTTACAACTAGTAAAGCTATGACCTAAGATGCCCTGTTCACTTACAATCTAGAAATGCTCTTTTAAAACCTAGGTAGGTTTTTATTCACCGAACTGGACAATAGAATTTTACATTTTATGTCTAAATAGCGAAGCTGGGAAGAATACGTTGGATAATTTTGCAATTTTGGCTATTTTGACCTAATATTTCCAGTTCGGCAGGCTTTCTACAATTCTGGTTTTGTGAAAAACCATTGTCTGTTTTATGCTTTAGATGTCTGCCAGTTTCTAGCAAATTAGTCTGTTAAATAAAATGTACAATTTGTGAAAAATAGGACAAAAAAACCCCCTGCATTTTTGAGGCTAGCAATTTTGACTTTAGAAGATCATGTTCACATGCTTTTTGTAAGCTAGTGGTGATGATGTAATATAATAAAACCAATCAAATGTTGTGGAATGTCAGTTCTGCCCAGTGATCTCAGAGTACCAAAAGGCATGGCTTTCTGTTAAGCAATTGTGCGTACACTTTTAAAATATGGCTGATCTTACAAAATGTAGTACATATATAAAAAAACAAAAACCTTTTTTTTAGTTAAAAATCACAGTATTCAGACTTCGAAAAGTGATTTGGAAGTTCGACATTGTCCAGGATTTTATTTCATTCATACGTACTAAAAACCACATTGTTTTGTTTGTTTTCATGTGTTTGATTTTTATTCTAGCTGTACAATTTTTTTATGTTTTCAACTATTTGCACACAAATGCTATTGTCTATTCTTGTTCCTAACTATAGATTTTTTTATTTTATGAAATAAATGGAACTAAATAGTTTAGACGATATTTATATAAATATATATGCACTGATAATCGGTATCGATAGTCGTCTGCCCTCAAGCAGTACCTATTATACTAGGAGTAAAGGGCGCTAGCTTTTGAAGAAAAACATATCTGGAATTAAAATGTGTTTAAGAAAGCTAACCTAGTTAGGAAAGTGCTGTATGTGATGGGTTTTAACTAGGTTTTCTTTATGTTTGTTCCAAAATTCTGACTTTTGCCTCATGGTTTCCAATTGTGCGCCAACCTTCAGAATACTGCAATACAGCATCGTCCTGTTTAAAGCTATTCATTTTGTATGTATTTTTTCATTTTGTATTTATTTAACTGTGCCAAGTATTATTTTACTACTGTCTGAGTCTTGATGTACTACATTGTGAGCGACCGAAATTGTACATTTTCATAATTTAGCTCTCCTCACATAAGTTAATGCCATCAAATTTTTGTAAGTTATTAATCAAATAAATATTGACAATTCGGTGTAGTGTTTGTCTCATCAACAAATATATTGAATGACCTTTGGTAAAACCACAGAGTGGATTACCTCCTTCAACTTTTTCTTTAAGGTCTCCAACTACGACCATCAAGTTTTCAAAGGAGATATTTTCTTGACAGTGTCTAGGTCACGGGTGCCCAAAAGGTATCTCCTCACATGTTGTAGAACTACAACTCTTGTGATGGTTTGCATGCCTTTAGAATGACAAAGCATCAAAGATGCTGTAGTTTTGAAACATCTGGGGATCTACCTTTAGGCCACCGCTGACTTATGTGGTGGGATGTAACCTCCAAATCTTGGGTATTTACAGATATTTCTCAACACTGGCTATTCTGGTAGATATTTTAGCCGTCGCCAATCTATTTATTTTTAACCATTCATTTATTCACAGATAAAGATATCATCTGGTGGGATGATGTTTCATGGGGGGCCAGTTTGTATTCTAATGCCTATAAGAATATAGTTTTGAGGAAAGTGGTAATGTCCAGAAATCCAACTATTGACAGACATGTAAAACAGAGTAAATGGGCGGTTTGTTTTATAAAATTTTTAATTGTAACTTTACCAGTGTGTAAAATACAGGATGGCAATGTTTCTGTTTTTGAACAAGAGCGATAGAAACTTAAGCACTTTGATAGCTAAAAAACATTCTAGAAAGTGCAAGCTTGTGAAATATTGAAAAATACAACGTGAGGTGTATTTTATTAGATTTTTTTTTCCCTTTAGGAGCGCAGGGGGCAATCTAAGCACCATCATTACTACACACCATTGTAATTATGGCGTTCGTAGGCTGCAGACACCATTTCCTGATTCAGAGTCAATTTGATTAAATTTACCAATCCCACAACCCAGCCTACTGGCAGAGTGCATCTGCTGACTGATTAAGCCTTCCACTACTGTCCAAATATGGTCTAAATGATATTAGCAATCCAATATTAAATTCCACAATAGCAATCTGCTAAGAAAAAGGCTGCAGCAGTACCATATGTGCATCCACAGCATGTAGTAGTTATGGTGCTTAGACTGCGCCTTTAATTTGCTAGATTAAAATATTTATCTGTTGATATATATTCTAAGATCACCTGCGTTCTGAAGAATGGACAGGTCCTCTTTGGAATCTAAATTACTGTATTTGGATGCATTTAATATCCAAGGATAGGCTTAGGGGACTATTTAACATTCACTAATACCATGTTTTAGTTTATTAAATACAGAATTCCAATATGTAAAGCCGTGACTATAACAGATTTAGAAAGACAAATTCCCAATTCACAACCTCTACAATTTGGTTATTAATACACTATAAATTCAAGGTTGGTGTATAAACCCTTTCAAATACCATGACATACATATCCCCAATTATTTTATCCTTTTAACTTGTATTTGCTACTCAATTTGAACAGGAACAAAATAGAAGCTTTGCAAAATCCTTTATGAGAAATCCATAAATTCCTATAAAATGAGTAATACACCAAAAGATGTAAAAGCACGAAAGTTTGAAGAATCCAAAGGCTTATTAGAGTCAAGAAATGCAGTTATTTTCACAGTGATTAGTAGAGCTTTGAAATATCACTAGGTCTAGTTCCAGGGAAGATTTTAAGGTGTAGTCACCTTGCATTTTGTTTACTGAGCATGCACGAGGGCTCCTGCTCCTTGGCCATATCCAAATCCTTTTGGTCCAAAATTCTTGGCATAACATGCTGTATGGAGGGATTAAAAGAAAGAGTTATAAGCAATAGTGGGACGTTTAAAGAGATTAATGTATTTTATATAAAAATGATTTTCTTTGTAATAACAAAAACACAGGAACTTGTTAGTTTATAAAAAGGGGAAGATTTAGAAAAGTGCTCCTTTAAAGTTCTAGAAGTAGAGCAATTCCTATGGAAACTCCTAAACCAAGGGTAGGCAATCTGTCACTCCAGATGTGGACTACATCTCCCCCGATGCTTTGCCAGCATTGTGACTAAGAGCACTATGGGAGATACAGTCCACAACATCTGGAGTGCAGGCAATGGTCTGCCCTAGACTGATTCTGCAGACATCACAGGTTGCCTTCACCTACTTTCTTTCCTGAAAATAGATTGGGGAGGTTCAATCCTACATTAAAAAAATATTTATAAAATCTGTTTTACATTTGTATGAAAATACTTTTAGTTGTTATACTATCAGTAAATTAGATAAAAAAGAAGAAAAAAAGTGCAGCATGAGATTTGTAGTTCTAAATAAACTTGGGATCTGCCTTTTGGCCTTTTCTGTCCTAAAAACTTACTAGTACACATGAGTAGCTGTTAGCAGAATAACAGCGGAGGTCAATTGAAACAAAGCTTCACACATATACAAATAGAATTTGGAATTCTGGTACACGGACATACCTTTGCAGTAGATTTCTCCCTCTTTCTCGGTTAAGGTGGTCGATTCTAGACTTTTGCCACACTTTGCACACCTGAAGCAGTTCTTATGCCATGCCTGGAATGTGACAAATAATCAGAAACTGAAAAATGTTAACGTTCCTTCCATTCCTGGCCAACATATGGATGGCAATGAGACATTGTGTACTTTATGTTGCCATAGAAGGTTATTAAATTCACTTTTTAGGATACATCATGCGGATCTAAAAAAGGTTATACAAGTCCTAATGTACTTTATTTAATGACTCTTGGAATTTGCTTAATTTCTGATGTTTTACCAATATAGGTTCCTAGACAATAAGACAGACAGTAAAATATTTACTAGGTGGCCATCCCAGGTTGAATATTAATATTGCTTGGGCGCTGTGTGTATCTAAGTTATACAGTAACTAGTAAGGTCAGCCATGTCACCAGTACAGTTATCCAGTTGCCAAGCCAGTGTCGTAAGGAGCAGAAAAATAGAACTATGAACAGCTCAACAAGAAAATGATATGCAATGACTCATAAAATATATTTTAACAGAAAAAAACCACCAACGGCATCTCTCATCCGCAGAGGAAAGACAGAGTAAATTAAAACCACACTCCAAGCACCATAACCACTGCAGTGCCCTCTACTACCTTTGTGCCTTCCCATTGTAAACAGTCAAATGCTTTTATCACATTTTGATTTTTAACTTGGGTCTGCTGATTGCCGCCCCCCTGCTAGAAGTGTTTAGCTTACACCAGAGTTCAGTGGTGCCTTGCTTTGCTCATTTCCAGAAAAAGATCAACTAATGCTCTCAGTCAATGAGCTTCCGGTCTTTCTGGCTGCTGAGAGTAGGCAGAGAGCAGCATCAGGCAGAACCCAGTTAAAAAGTCAGCTCATTCTAAAAACGGTTTGACTACTTACATTTGAGGAGTGCTAGGGTATTCCTGGCACCATAACTACTACAGCACACCAAAGTGGTTACGGTGTTTGGAGTGTTCCTTTAAATAACGAGGGAGTATGTCTAGGCTTTAATCATTTGCCTTGTTACAGTTCCCCTCATGGTTCAGTGGAAAAGAAAAATTCATATTCAGAGGCAGGTCTTTATCTAATGAAAGCATTCTGAATGCATTAGTTCTAAAGTTCATTAGAATTTCTAGTAAAAAGCAGATTAGAATTGGGTTTCCAGGTGATGGCTCGAACAGGATTTTCACCAACTTACTTTTCCTGCCCCCATTACTTTCTCTGCAGCGTACACAGATTCCCCACATCGGGGACATTTTTCAGTTCCTCCAAATTTCTGAGCAAACTTTGAAGGGTTTGATGTGGTGTTGCTGGGGCGTGATTGTTGGGTTCTGAAATTAAAAACAAGGTTTTATTGGGGATTATTCAAGCTATAAAGTATTTACTTTGGAAACAAATCAAACATGTAATTGACATGACAGAACACAATGGACATTGAAGAAGAAAAAAAAAAATCTGCAAAGCTTTCTTAAATCCATCTGAGCATTTATTATATAAATGTTTCAGAACTAAATGTCTGATGTGTGTTTTAATCTCAGAATAAAAAGGTTCTTCGTGCAATGTAAAAAATGAATCAGTCTTTGTCAGTGTCCTTTGGACACACATGCTTTATATAGAGCAACATTGACATCTTGCTCCTTTCCTCGGTCCCGGACTACTCTTGACCAGCCGACCTTCTAGTTTCTGTCTCACTCCAGTATAGCTGTTCTGTTTGTTAAGTCATAATTTGCTTTCTCAGCCTTCATCTAAACTCTCTTGCTCTTCTCCTATAGTCTCTTTCAGGATACATGTTCTCGACAAACTACCAGTGCACTCTTCAACCTTTCCATGTCCTCTTCTCTGCCCACCTTTGGTCTTTAACGATCCTTACATCATTCTCAAAATTAACCTTTCCTCCTTCTCAACTCCTTTCTGTTACTGTGTTTATCCCTCGCTGGGTGCTGTGGCACTCCTGGGCTCAGTAGCCCAGATCAGAATTGAAATGATTTCTGCTCAGAGCCCCAGTTAGTCACACTGTTGCCTCACTACAAGATAATCAAATAAATAGAGTGTGTTACCAGAGTGAAAATTCAAAGTGAATTTCAATTGAACTTTAAATTTAAAGGTGAAAATATCTGATCTGAAAAAAAAAAAAAAAAAAGTCAGCCAGTACTCTGGCCTTAAATGTGAAATTCACTTTGAATTCTCAATTAAGAACCCCCCCCGGGATCACATTACACCAGTATAAAGTGGAAGCCTTCTGTAATTAGATTATGTTATTGTCTAAATGTATTTGGTAATCTTTTATTACAAAAACCTACTCTTCTGGTTTTATGCCAAGTCTTTCTCCTCTGTCCATATTCAATGTGCCGGCTCCTTGGCCATAACCATAGCCCTTGGGCCCGTACTTCTTTCCATAACATGAGCGACAGTAAATCTCATCGTCATGTATAGCCATGGTAGTACTGTCCAGATTTTTTCTGCATACCACTATCAACATAAAAAGTCAAAGAAAACAAACACATTAACATTCAAGTGGTTATTAAAGAACAAAAATAAATTATATAGAAAATAAATAAAAAATGTGTTTAGGGCTGGTAGTTGATCTTTCTAAACGTAGACAAAATGATGCTTTATAAATTTGTCATTCAATGAGTGGAAATGGTGTGTGGTTTCTAATTGTGGTTGCAGAAAAACCATTTTGCAGATATCAAAGCATTGTGCCATTTCATCAAGCATGATATTTCCAGTTAAATTCCAGAGTTATTAAACAAAAATATGATTGTCCTTGGTCGAGGCCATGGGCTCTCTATGATCTGACATTCCATTCTCTCTGCACGTTCTGTATTCACAGGCTGGTTTGTGTTTACAGCCCACAGAGAGCATGGCCACTAAGGGTCAGAGAGAATGGTAGGAGGCCAGATTTTTTTTGCTGTAAATTAATAAAAAAATAAACACCCCTAATGTACCAGCAAAGTGATTGCCGTGCACATATTAGACTTTATCCGTAGGGAAGCACACTGAATAGCCTCATGCACATGAGAACGTCCAGGGTCATTTTTACGGCGTTGAACTCTGTAAAAGAGCAGGAAGCACCACTAGTGACTGTATGGTAGACAGCCACTAAAGGCAGTCTTAACCCTGCAGAGAAACTGCAATGTTTTAGATTGCAGGGTTAAGAGGACTGGGTCAGTGCATCCAGATCACTTTAATGAGATGGAATGGCCTGGGGGCCTATAGTGACCCTTTAATATGTCTCGTACCAAAAGATTTATGGAGAGTCTTCAGAGTATGGCAGTATTAACACCCCACAACTAGCCAAGTTTGTGCAATATCTCCAATAGTAAAGAACTAAACCAGGATTGTGGATGATGGACAATTGGGCCTGCCTCTTTAGCCACACCCCCTCACTCCAGAAAAATACTTCCTTATATGTATGTACATAGTTCAGCCACTGACAGCACTGAGTGATGTGAACTACAAAAACAACCTGTATTAGAAGCAGAGGACACCCAGGGAGACATATAGTAAGAAGATAATATCAGGAAGTATTACTTTACTGAGAGGGTAGTGGATGCATGGAATAGCCTTCCAGCTGAAATGGTAGAGGTTAACACAGTAAAGGAGTTTAAGCATGCGTGGGATAGGCATAAGGCTATCCTAACTATTAGATAAGACTAGGGACTAATGAAAGTATTTAGAAAATTGGGCAGACTAGATGGGCCGAATGGTTCTTATCTGCCGTCACATTCTATGTTTCTATGAGATCACTACCTGTTTGTCTCTCACTGTCTTTCAGGTTGTAAATAACAAAACAACTCACTCAGTGCCATTGGGCCGGAGACTGAGCAGACCGGAGATAAGCAAGTCTTTCTGTCATGAGGGGGTGTGGCTAAGGAGGCAGGTTAATGGTGCAACATTCTGCAAAACATTTAGTTTTTCCTGTGCGAAAACTATAAAAACTTGAGCATGTTAAAAGAAAAAAAAACAAATACAGCAATAAAAGGCCAAAATCTATCAAATGCATTAAAGTTGTATTGGTCCCTTTAAATGGCCAGAAACATTTCTTATTGTAGGATTCCATTTTATTTTGAGAAAACACTAATGAACATCGTGAAAGTTGGAGAACCAGACGTTGTCTTTTCATGCTAAAAAGCCAACTTACTGCACAGAAAGCAGCACTTGTGGTAGCTCTTTCCATCGCACTGCACCTCCTCAGCATGGTATACGGTCCGACCGCACGCACTGCATTGGTTTCCACCTCCCCAGTTAGGCATCTTGAAGCTGTAGGAACGGGAAACCAAATCTGTTAGAATGGAAGTATCTTGGTACACGAATTGTTCACAACAGAAAAATGGAATAATGCACCGGTCCGGTATCAGAGCTAGAGAAGGCCACAGGGCAAAAAAAAGGAACACAGATTGAATAAACATAGCTCTACATTTCCTTCATAGAGTAAAAGACAATCAGGACATTCACAATGGTAAATTAGAATGATTATTAATCCATGATCCGACACATGTAAGTATGGGCCAGAAATGAGCAATAAAATCCCATTGGGCAGCCTTGCTATATAAATATGCTTCATGTAACACTCCATAACAACCAGAGTTATTACCCATTGCACTTGGACTATAACAAAAACTAACAGTACGAAGCAAAGTAAGCGGCAAGAAAATGGGACAAAACTATGGAAACACAAACACTGCAAAAATACAGTAAATCCGGGAAAGGTTTCAGGAATCAGGATCTAACAGAAAATGTTCCAACAGTCCATGTGAGACAGTTAATCCAGGCTAGAGAATTTTACAACGGAAGGCCTGCTTTATTGGGATTTTACAGTAAGAAAAATTTGTGAGAAAAAAACAAAAAAAACAAGCAAAAGGTTAGAAATCTTATGAATTAGTTAATTAAGAAAAGCAAGTGAGCAAGAATAAAGGAGAATAGACTGCATGAGGTTCAGGTATTGGTTTGCCAATAAAGATTACTTCAGAAATGGGGATTTTTAAAACATTTTATTATGGGATTACTTCAAGCACCATGACCACTTCACTGACTGACGAAGTGATGATGGTGTTTGGAATTTTCATTGTTTCTGTATGAAACGCTGCACATACAGAGTTAAAAGGTGTTTGCTGTCAGAGGTGTAACGACCACCAGTATGGTTATTAGCCAGACCGGAACAACATTTCTGGGCCTGGCTACTGATTAATCTATGCATACAGTGTCTGTCGTCAGCATGCATGGCATACTGGTAACAGATGATGAATTGATGAATGGCAGCATTCCCCCCCCCCCAGCCCTTGTGCGGCTCAAGTTCCTCCCCTTCGACATCCCACCCAGTGGAGGAGGATTAGGTAGCAGGGAGAACTTGGCTTCAGCATTGGATTGTAGGGTTTGTTTTTTTTTTTGTTTTTTTTGCCTCTCCCCTCCTTTTTTCATCAGGTTGGACCATACCAGTAAAGGGTATTGCAACCAAAAACAGTGTATTATTAAATCATTGAAGAAGCTTTTTAATAATTTTTTTTTTGTTTATTATTATTATTCTTTATTTTTCTTGTGCATGTATAGACATTTACATTTTTTTATGTTATGCCACAACAGCATTGGCAAATTAATCAGAAACACTGGGATTGACATGGCATGCGAATTGACTGCACATTTTTATGATAATATCAGGCTAAAGCTGGGAAGGTTGTGTCAAAGGGTGATATACAATTTTAAGCTAGTAATACTAATATTTCCAACATTGTCTAATTATAAGCGCTTGCATCAGTATCTGTTCATGTCGCTAGAGATCTTTGAAATAAAAGATTTTAAACATGCTAAACTACACTAAAAACAACAGCCCTGTTAGCCTTAATTGTGCATAGGTGAGAGGTCTGCATTGTAGATACTAACAGTAGGTCTAAATTAATATAACACAGATTTGGTATAGCCTTAAGATTCATCACATATATGAGTAGTTTCGTTGCTGGGTTTGCCTTTATAAGCTATGGCAGTGCATGGTATGGGAGACTCAATGCACAGCTGGGCTAGGGTGAGCGAGATGTGAGATTAAGTGGTGAGAAGAGAGAAAGCTTGAGTTAGCAAAAACATCTAAATTTCAACAGGTGGCAGAGATAAACGGTTAACACAGCCATGCATCACTAGTAGTGAAGAGTGATCTGTCATGGCAGCTAGCCTGGCATGCCAGCACAGTTAAGCAGTCCGTCAGCCTATCCCCCTGCTGGGCAGTAAGCCTCCATATGAGGACAGTTCATGCAGGGCTGCTATTGTGTACAGTCAGGCGACAGATGCAGTGTAGTTTGAGTTTGCTGGTGCGTGCTGGATTTGCCTTCACGGCAGGGTAGGTGCCTCCTCGGGGTTCCCTCCCCGGCGGGTCGTGGCTGGGTTCTCCGCTGGTTCCGCCCGCCGGTGTGCAGTCTCGCTGTGTCTAGGTCAGCGTCACGGTAGGCTTTGTGAGGTGCCATATGCGGGGCGGCATCTTGCTGGTCGAGGTTCGCAGGGGCCGTCGGGGGGTAAGCATGTTGGGTGTACCGGTAGGTTCTGTTTTGGGTCAGCTCAGGGGCCCTGTCGTTGGTCTGGGTTTATGTGAGACTCTTGGGTCGGGTTGCCGCTGAGCCGCCATCTTGGTAGGGTCCTGGCGGCGCGTCTTCCTCGCCATCTGCTGCGGTGTGCCTTTCCCGTGTGGATCGGGATAACCCCTGCCGGTCCAAAGGGGAGGGTAGGGTGCTGGTGTGTGTGCTTGGTTTCGTCTGGGTCAGGGAGAGCGGCCATCTCGCCCCAGCTTCGACACTAGTAGGCTGCATATGGTGTCCAGCGCCCCCTTGGCCGACGGGCCTCGGGATTGTGTCTGCTGCTTCAGTGGTGCCTCCCCAGCATGGGTAGTGCATCCAGTTGTGTCTCCCGATGTCATTGCTGCCGTTTTGTCCCCGTCTAATGCCCGTCGAGCAGGAGCTCATGGCACCCGCGTCTGCTTTGCGGTCAGACTCTGCCCCCAAGCTTTTTAATTTCTGTGTAGCAAGAGGCTGGTAGCTTCGGGTATCATATTGCAAAACAACATCCCGATCTCATTGCATTTTGACAAGCTATGCAAAACTTCACAAAATGCTATTTAAAAACAAACAAAAATACCCCACATTGTACGTGACACGAGAAACCTATCCACGATTAAAAATAGAGGTGATCAATTCAGCCTCCCCTTTTCAGATCAAGGTTACTAGAAACTTATAGTTTCATTCAGACATTTTCATACGCTTTAGCCAAAATGGCTTTTTCCATTAATTTCCTGTGGAATAAAACTAACACCATGTTAAAATCTCAGATTAACGTTGCTGAACAGGAACAGATTGTGCTGCAATTGATGTATTTCCAGACAATATCAGATACCTGGGACAAGCATGTTCACATCTTAATATGGAATGAAGTCTGCCTCATTGTGTGAGAATGCAGAGTAAAATATTTACAGGACAACAAAAGTCACCCAGACTATTTCAAATCAATAAAGTGGTCTAGGTGCAGAGGTCCTGTCCTTTTAAGACCATGTTAACATTGCAGGGTTAAATCCAAACTCTAATGGCAGTATTCCTTACAGCCACTGGAGGAGCTCCCACTGCACTGACAGCAAAACTCAGAAACCCCCACAGGACAAGTTTGCTTTAAAGTAACACCATAGCGTTAGGAATACAGATATACATTCCTAACGCTATAGAGCCCTAGTCACCCCGTTCTGCTGCGAATAAATGGTTAATTAACCATTTATTTGCTTACCTTAATCAGGGCCGTCTTTAATATTGACTGGACCCTGGGCAAAGCATTTGCTTGGGGTTCCCTGGACCTTGTCCACCCTCCCCAGCCGTGCAATCACGTCCTCCACTCCAGTGGACCTAAAGTAGAGAGGTGCAAAAAATTTTGGGGGCCTCCCTGTCGCACGGGTGATTAAAAGGTAGATCCCCCATTTGTCGTGTAACTCCAGAAATGCATTTACAGCTGGGGCTCTACAATTTATCCATGTTTGCAGGTCTGTATTTAGCACAAAACTAAAGTTTTTGTGCGTTTGAATGTAAACAGGTTTTTTGTATGGAATATGTTTGTATGTGATGTTGGCGTGATTGCAAGCATGTATTTGTGTAGTGTTGGTTTTTGAATGCGCGGTGTATTTACATAAAATTTTGGTGTGTAACACAGACAGAAGGAGTTGTGAGTTGGGGTCTGGCTCTCTCGGTCAGCCCCCTTCCACTCTGCCTACTCTTCTTTCCCGCGCGCTCCTCTCTTTGTGGGAGGAAGTGACGCACAGCCGTCACTTCCTCCCAGTCAGCTGCTGAAAAGCAAGGGCCTCCTTAGTGTGTGGAGTAATATTTGAGGCCAGCGGGGCTCACGGTGCAGCTGATTCGGGCTCCCCAGGAGTAACTGGGCCCGGGGCAGCTGCCCAGTTTGCCCCGTGTAAAAGACGGCCGTGACCTTAATCCAGGACCAGGCTCCCTCGGCACTGGTGACCTCTCCTCCTCCATCAACGTCAGCTTCCGAGTGGAGCCGAATGCGCCTCCACGGCCAGAGGCACGCACGCATTCAAACCCACCTATAGGAAAGCTCAATGCTTCCCTACAGGGATCTTTTTTGACGCTGGACTCCGTGAGACTAGAGGCTGGATTTACCCTGCAGTGTAAACATAGCAGTTTCTCTGAAACTGCTATGTTTTCAGCTGCAGGGTTAAAACTAGGGGAACCTGGCACCCAGGCCACTTAATTGAGCTGAAGTGGTCTAGGTGCCTAGAGTGGTCCTTTAATGCTTTCTTACGGAGAAACATGGATGCTCAGATCAGGGTTACTTAAAGGATTAGCAGGGATAATGCAGTCTGACCCCATGTTCCACTTCACGCCATACCGTGGGTAGCAGGTAGTGAGACAATTACTGCCGAGTCCCTGGTACGACATAATTCAGCTTCCGCCATGATGTAATTTAGCCAGCGATGCGGAACCCAGTACCTGCAGGCTCCAGGTACAAAAACCACTTCAGTCAGTTGGGGTGGTTATGGGGCCTAGGGAGTGCTATCAGAGGTCGGTGACTATCATGGAGCAGTATTATTTAGTAAGTATAGAACTATATAGAATTAAAGTATACATTTGCTAGCCATTCATACAGCACAATGCAGAATTAAAACTCCATCTGTTAGTGGATGTGTCACATTTCCTTTAAACTCTTTGATCTATGGGTACCCCTAATAAGAGATGGGAAAATAAATTCTGTCCATGTTTTGCAGATTAATCAAAATGTTGAAATCGCCATTAATTGTGTTAGAACAGAGTTCCTCTAATCTTTGTCTTCCGAGCATGAATACACAGAATGTGATTTATAATGGCCATTTATTAGCTGAACCAGGTTTCCAGAACTCTGTTCTTCAGGATTATGGTTTCATTTTACACATATTTGTTCTTCTAAAAAGGACGATCTTAATGAACAAGATTTGTTGTAAATCACTTCCCTGTGACCACCAGAACTTCTCTGCTGACCTTGCGAGAACTTGAAAGTCAAATAGTAAGCACATTTAATTTTACAACTTTTCTGATGATGTGATCCAGTATTAGTGTATCATTTTTGGCAGCTAAACAGAACTCACGGATTAACATTCTTTTTCTTTTAAGCAAGTTTTTGGCTGAATTACTGAACAGCAGCTGACATAGATCAGGGCAAATTAATTCGCTATGAACAAACCCAGCTGAAATTCAGAATAGAAGCAGAACCTTATTCATTTTGCTTTGATTATTCTCTATACAAAGCGAATCCTAATTCTCAAGGAAATCTCCTTGGAAAAAAAGTCTTTGGCCTACTCCTGTACTGCATCTTTCGTTCATGGTGAGGGAACATCTTCTCATCTTTGGCTCAATGCACATCCAAGATATTACATTTATTGGAATTGTGGATCGCCACCATAAAACAAAGGCTACATTGTTTTTAGAACTGTGTGAATGTTTGTTTCAGTAATACCCAGACTTGTACTGCACTGAACATGTTCTTCATTGGCCTCTCTCAATACACTTTAAAATTTTCATTTCACAGTATATGCAATATTCGAATTCTCTGCCGAGCCCAAACTATGTATTTAAACTACATTACAGAGCACTGCTTAGTTATTTTAACAAAATCTATTCCTGTAGTTGTACAGCATTTTGTAGCAATAATGTATTCAGCAGTCAACATTTATATTTTAGAATATCTAAAATATCCTTCTAAGGAAGGATATCTTTTCTGTGTAATATGCCTTATTGGGCACTGTGGAGATGGTCTTTCTCCGATCTGTAGTATATCCTGCAAAATAAAATGGTTCGCTTAGCTCCTGGCGTTGATCTTCCTTACCCCTCCTCACCACATGCGCACAATCTGGGCTGGCAAGGGAGGAAGGGTTTTTAAAACAAAAAAAACTAAAAGAACCTCCAAAGTTAATGGCGGGAGGCAGGAGGGAGCACATGGTGCAAGAGGAAGACAATCATGTCTGTACGAGCTGATGACATGTGTTTTATGCACAAAATTGATATTAGTCAACCCGGAACACAGTTCCTTGCTGCCTCTAGCACACAAGTGCAAATATCTTAGTATGTGCAATGTTTAAACAAACTGACAACTTCAAACCACTAAAGTGGTCATGGTGGTTGGAGTAACCCTTTAACAATATATTACAGCATTTAGAAAATGCCATTTCAATCTGCAGAGCTTTACAATTATACAAAAAGGATATTTAACAGCAAGTACGGTAATTAAAAGATGAAATACAAGCGTGAAGAGCTTGCATTTGAAGTGAGCTCCTGAGAATTGCAGTAGTTCATACAAAAATTCATGTGATGAAACATCCCATAAAAAAAAGCAATAAAATAAAAAAAAAAATACACTTTTCACGCACACACGATGCAAGGTTTTTACAAAGCAAGCAACAATCTTCTTGCACCACAGCCACAGAATCCGTCTCCGGGTTTCAGGTGAATGTGATCAGATGTGTTATGTTTACTATAACGCCATAAAACCTTTTTTTCCCCTCATCATTTAATTTATTTCTCCACACCTAACAATATTCTATGGAGGGCTGTGAAGTTATACAAGTTAAATATGAAGCTGCATTGTGAACTTTGCTCAGTGAATACAACCTTTTAAAAAAAAAACAAAAAAAAACACATGATACTAAATTTTACATTATATGAAAAGGTTACACGTTTTAAGACTGTGTTTAAGTAGAATTATAAAACAGAATTGGTGATGGAAGAATTTCAGATCCCTGCCTGTCCAATATCTGTCACGATAACTGTACAATTCTGGATAAGGTTGGAGGATTATCATATTCCTTTTGGTCTTATGTAGAATTCCAGAAAAATACCACAGCTGTAAACTACTCAACCTCATTCCATGAAAACACATTCTCCGAGGCGAAACCGGATCGTCCAGCAATTAGTGGACAGCAGAAAAGTGTTATGGGATCTAATCATTATTAAAAAGGGATCAATGTGAATACTGGACCCAGTCAGGAACAGAGATGTTGGGCCAGACCGCTAGAAATGTATCCAGAGATATGAATTCCCTTTAAAACAAATAAAGACGAAATTCTAGAACCTTCCACCGTTTATTACACTTAAGCTGTTGCAATATAGAGTTTTGTGTAGTTTGGCCACCATTTCTACATATTTATCAAGCATACAGCATTTATAATAGTCTATGTTTTACTCAGCATCCCCTCTCTCTCCTGGAGCCTATTAATTCATCTCTCTCTTACTGGAGTAAAAGTTGATAATCCTGGAATGTCACCGGTATGATACAGATTGTTTGCCTTTAAAAGCTCAAAACTAAATTGTTCTGTTCCATAGATCAGAGATAGGCAACCTTTGGCACTCCATATGTGGACTACATCTCCCTTGATGCTCAGCCAGCAACGTTCCTAAAAGAGTATTATGGGAGAAGTGCTGAAGGTTGCCTACTCCTGCCGTACACGATCAATGGCACGAGAAAGGAAGGCGCTAAAAGCATGTCAAACAGGGCAACATAGGTAATCTCAGGGTTCTAATATCACGTATTTTGGCATAGGAAATTAAAACAATTTAACCCCTTAAAGACACATGACGGAAATATTCCATCATGATTCCCTATTATTTTTGAAATTGTGTGCTTAAGGGGTTAAATTCCTGACAATTCACACTTTATTGAATAACCCTGTATAACGAAGTGACAGAAACAACATACCTGGATCAGCTGCTGCACTGCATCTTTTATTGGGAAAACGTTTTCTTTTCTTTGGTTTTTACTATATATTGGGGCTGATGTGTACTGTAGTCATTGCTGCCGGCCCAGTAGTGATGGGAGTGAGCGCAGGACTTCTCTTTTTGTATTTACTTTGTATCACACAGCCTTGTTACAATGCTGCCACCCATCCCATGTGTTCCCTATTAAGGGTTAATAAGAATATAGGGGTGTATATAAAAAAGACCCCTCTCTGTCTCATTAGAGATATCTTTGCCAGAAGCTCAAGGAAGCAGGCTGAAGGGTCAGTGTTAGGACCCGCATAGGGGGGTCTGCCTTGACGTTGGCAGGCGGGCATTCCCTCCAATGGCCATTGGAGCAACTAAATGACCTCCATTTGTCTAAATATACATAGGGATTAAGGAGAGAGCGCAGGTAACTTTTTCTTTTCTTTGGATTGACCAGAGACCTGATTATAGGCTTCCCAAGATATGGGGGGGGGGGAAATGATGCCAGAGTCCAGTACCCAGCACTGCAGCATGGGACATACACATTGGCACTTCTAATTAAAGAAAAAATTTATCATAAAAACCCAGGGAACCCATTTCCTCGAATTCTCCCATGGTAAAAAAAAAAAAATATATAATAAAAAAAAAAAAAAACAATGTAGACAGGGAGAGAACACAGAAAATAAAGTTATCTTTACATGAGAATGATGAGACGCAGAGTACAATCCCAGCCAACTGACATATTTAATAATTTGATTACAGAATATAACATTCATATAGAAATAAAAAGACAGATCCATGCATGGATGCAGTACTATTGTTTAACAGAAACCGGATTTGTTAAAGGAAAGTGTAAGAGGGAATTTGGGATTCGATTTGGAACCATCCAGTGAATAAGCCAAGAAACAGTTAAGATGCACAAAAATATTTCAGATATAATATTATATATCTCCATTAGTACAGTCTTTTATTGTTCTTTATGAATACAGAAGGTTTCCCCTTGGCACCATAGGGATACCGAGTTTCTTTAGAATGTCATAGAATGACTGGTTGGATGAGGGTATAAAAAGGTCCCCTAAGAATGTCCGTAGACAATATCTTGCCGTCTTATTTTGCAAGGAGCGTAGGTGACGGGAATACTAAAATCGTGTTCACTTTGTTATTCAAAGCCCAATTGAGAACAGAATGTCTTATACCCGTGTTGTAAACAGGAAAAAAAAAAGTTACTAGTAAGAAATACTGAAGTAGCTACTTGTTAAAAAGAGTATGTTACGAGTATTTTGTGAACTGGCTGTTATTTCATGGGATGCATCAGATTTTCAAATCATGTACTTATACCTCCAACAGTCCTGGATCCAGAGTGGCAGTCCCAATTTCAGTTTCCTATCCCACCACATGTGTGTACGGGGATTTAATTTGCTAAAACTCAGAGTTAATGAATAGTCTAGCCGTGGGTGACATCATCCATGCATTATTTTCCTGTAATACACAGTTTTACTGTCATCGTGCATTTTGGAGTCCCTAAACTCAAGGCAACTGGGACATGTTTTGGTCATCCAGAAATTAGTTTGAGTTAAGCTTCGGAATGGCAGTCACATTTTAATTGAACACTCTCCCATTCGGCCTATATGGTGGCGGTTTTCTCCTGGTAGTGTGAAGCTGATAATCTCTGGAAGACTGGGATATGAAATGCCACACCATGCTGATTACATAACTAGCAGAGGCATTTTTACAAAATCATCCAGAAAAATATGGCGATTCATGCATCCTGCAAAACCAAGAAAGACTCATATTTTAATGCCATTAATAATGTCCTATCCAGCTGTATAAAAATCTGTGTTCCATAATGACAGTTAGTAGCCAATGCATTGGCTTAGATGGTCCATAGTGACCTACTGGTCGAATACTAACCTATTCCCATCACCATCTGCATGAATCCCAACTGTCCCCATTTAAGAGGGACAGTCCCTACTTTAGGCCCAAACCCCTCCTGTATCCTTTTCTAGGAGCTCCATAACGTTTTAGTGTACATACACACAGGTACGTGTGTGTGTGTATATATATACACACACACACGCTAATTTGATTTAGAAATCAGAGTAAATAAGATACATTATACTTCTAAATTACATTTTAGTAGCATTCTTTTTAATAAATCACGTAAGGTTTCTCCGAATAACACCACCATTGGCCACAGCCCAAATATGAAAGCGTCTCTTTGTCCATTTGACATGTTTGGAGATAGGTCTTCTGTAAGAACTGAGCCTGGTGCACGTCATGATTTGTTAACAATAATGTTACCCTTGTTGCCTTGGCATCTCCTTGACAACAAGAAGATGGTAGTGCGCATGCTGGGACCTGGCCTTGGACCCAGGGCCGTCTATAATATGAATAGGACCCCGGGCAAAGCCTTTTCTTGGGCCCCCTGGGCCCTGTCACTGCACCCTCCCACCCCATTACGCCCAACCCGCAATCACACTGACAGACATACTGACACATACACACAAAGACAGACACATTAAAACATTTGCAGATACATACTGACACACACATACACTGACACAAAAATATATACTGGCAAACATTGACACACATTCAGACATACTGATACACACAGACACATACATACTCACAGACACATACACTGACAGATATATTGGCACAGACACACACAGACACATACACTGACAGGCGTATTGACATACACAGACATACTGACATACACACACACTGGAACACAGTGAGACATACTGACATACACACACAGACATACTGACATACAAACACACAGACATACACACAGTATGTCTGTGTGTGTTAGTATGTCTGTGTGGTGTGTTAGTATGTCTGTGTGTGCATGTCAGTATGTCTGTGAGTGTATGTCAGTATGTTTGTGTGTGTATATGTCTGTGTGTGTGTCAGTATGTGTGTGTGTGTGTGTGTGTATGTCTGTGTGTGTGTATGTGTCAGTGTGTCTGTGTGTGTATGTCAGTGTGTCTGTGTGTGTATGTCAGTATGTCTGTCATAGACACACACAGACATACTGACATACATACACAAACAGACATACTGACACAGACATACTAACACACTGACATACATTTAGCCACCCTCCAGGTTCTTACCTTTTTATGGAGGGTGGTTTCCCTGGGGTCCAGTGGCAGGCTGAGGCAGATGGGAGTTCTTCTCTGAAACTCCCCTCCTCCCTGCCTTCCTCCTCCCGCGCGGCTATCTCCGGTGGGAGGAAGTGACGCGCGGCACTCACTTCCTCCCAGCCGGAACAGGAAGGGGCCCGGTCGCGCTGTTTAAGCGTCACAGCGCCCGACCGGGACCCTTCTGCCACATGCCCACAGGGTGGCCCTTAGTGCATGGGCCACCCGGGGGCCTCCTTAGTTGGCGGGCCGGTGCGGCTGCACCGCCGGCCGCCGGGTACACGGGGGCTGCTGAAATCGCGGGGCCCACGGGGCAGCTGCCCTGGGGCCCCCCCAGGAGCAACTGGGCCCGGGGCAGCTGCCCCGTTTGCCCCGCGCTAAAGACGGCCCTGCTTGGACCAGGTGATATGCATCGAGATCCAGGGGTAACGCTTAACTTTAGCTTACTGCAAAGATCTACACACTTGTTGGTGGGATTGGAGGCAATGGAATTAGGAAACCATCCACAATACAGTCAGGGGCGTATTAGCCGCGAGGCAAACAAGGCATTTGCCAATGTCTTGTTAGCCTCGCGGCTAAGAGACATTCTGGGCGCTGGGCGGGCGGCCGGCGAGGGAGCTCTTCCCCTGAGCCCTCTGCTCAGCTCCCTCGCGCGCCGCCAGCAGAGTGAGGCTGGGAGCCGGGTTGATGACGTCATATTCCGGCTCTCAGCCTCACTCTGCTGGCGGCGCGCGAGGGAGCTGAGCAGAGCGCTCAGGGGAAGAGCTCCCTCGCCGGCCGCCCGCCCTGCAGCCACTGGACCCCAGGGAGAGGAAGAACCCCCCCAGCAAAAGTAAGGAGGCTGGGGGGGTTAAATAAAAAAACCAAAAAAAAACCACTAGTGAGTGTGTGGATGTCTGTTAGTGTGTATGTTAGTGTGTGTATGTTAGTGTGTGTGTGTTAGTGTGTGTGTGTTAGTGTGTGTGTCTTAGTGTGTGTGTCTGTGTGTGTGTGTCTGTTAGTGTGTGTATGTTAGTGTGTGTGTGGATGTCTGTTAGTGTGTGTGTCTGTTAGTGTGGATGTCTGTTAGTGTGGATGTCTGTTAGTGTGGATGTCTGTTAGTGTGGATGTCTGTTAGTGTGTGTGTGTGTTTGCCTGTTAGTGTGTGTGTGTGTTTGCCTGTGAGTGTGTGTGTGTGTGTTTGCCTGTGAGTGTGTGTGTTTCTGTTAGCAAGTGAATGCGTATCTGTCAGTGAATGTGTGTGTGTGTATTTAGAAGGCGGAGCAGGGGGGGAAGGTTGGGTGGCGGTTGCGCGGGTGGGGGTGGCGCGGGGGGGGGGTGCTTGAGTTTTGTCCTGCCTAGGGCAGCACAAAACCAGGATACACCACTGAATACAGTGCAAGACTAGAATGGTGGGAGGTGCACACTGGGTCAGCATGGGCAACACATGGAGCAAGGGAGAACAGAAAGAGCCTGCCATACCAGCAGGGGCGTATTAGCCGCGAGGCAAACAAGGCATTTGCCTTGGGCGGCATTTTTCAGGGGGCTGGAAAAAACGCCGCCCCCCAAATGCCCAAGGCAAATGTCTTGTTAGCCTCGCGGCTAACAGACATTCTGGGCGCTGGGCGGGCGGCCGGCGAGGGAGCTCTTCCCCTGAGTGCTCTGCTCAGCTCCCTCGCGCGCCGCCAGCAGAGTGAGGCTGGGAGCCGGGTTGATGACGTCATATTCCGGCTCCCAGCCTCACTCTGCTGGCGGCGCGCGAGGGAGCTGAGCAGAGCGCTCAGGGGAAGAGCTCCCTCGCCGGCCGCCCGCCCGCCCTGCAGCCACTGGACCCCAGGACCCCAGGGAGAGGAAGAACCCCCCCAGCAAAAGTAAGGAGGCTGGGGGGGTTAAATAAAAACAAAACAAAAAAAACACTAGTGAGTGTGTGTATGTCTGCTAGTGTGTGTGTTAGTGTGTGTGTGTTAGTGTGTGTGTTAGTGTGTGTGTGTGTGTGGATGTCTGTTAGTGTGTGCATGTTAGTGTGTCTGTTAGTGTTAGTGTGTGTGTCTGTTAGTGTGTGTGTCTGTTAGTGTTAGTGTGTCTGTTAGTGTGTGTCTGTTAGTGTGTGTGTTAGTGTATGTTAGTGTGTGTCTGTTAGTGTTAGTGTGTATGTTAATGTTAGTGTATGTATGTTAGTGTGTGTGTCTGTTAGTGTGGATGTCTGTTAGTGTGGATGTCTGTTAGTGTGGATGTCTGTTAGTGTGGATGTCTGTTAGTGTGTGTGTTTGCCTGTGTGTGTGTGTGTGTCTGTTAGTGAGTGTGTGAGTGTGTGTCTGTTAGTGAGTGTGTGAGTGTGTGTCTGTTAGTGAGTGTGTGTTTCTGTTAGCAAGTGAATGCGTATCTGTCAGTGAATGTGTGTGTGTGTATTTAGAAGGCGGGGCAGGGGGGAAGGTTGGGTGGCGGTTGCGCGGGTGGTTGGTGCCTGAGTTTTGTCCCGCTCTAGGGCAGCACAAAACCAGGATACACCACTGGCTGTGAGGACTGAATCTTGGCACTGGAAACAAGGTAAAGGGACAACTAGACCACTGCATCTCATTGAAGTTGTCTGGGTGCATTCTCATTGTCCCCTTAGCCCTGCAGCTGAGAACACTGAAATTTTACAGAAACATTGACGTTCTACCAGACAGTCACTCGAGGCAATTCCTGGCCTTTTACAGAGTTTGGAACAACGCTGGACGTCCTCATGCTTTGCTAACTCCCCATAGAAATCCATTAATACAGTGCTTTCCTATGGGGAAGGTCTAATGCGCAAGCAGTACGGAGGTTCCAGCCTGGCTATGACGCTGGAGAAGGCAGAGACGGAGCCAACACTTTGGTACATTAGAACTGGAATAAGGTGAGAGTTTGAAAGTTTTTTTTTTTCTTACCTTTTTAGTTGCTGGGGGGGGAGGGGGGAGGAAATAAAGGGACACTATAGCGTTAGGAATACAGATTTGTATTCCTAACACTATAGTGTTGCTTAAGTAAAGCTTGTTTTATTTCATTTAATTAGGGGTCAGAAATCTAAATAGGTACTAGAACACTATAACAATAGAATTACATGCTTTTATTTCTAATACTATAGTGTTTACTTAATTGCCAAGACAGAATTTAATGGATAACACGAAGAAGTTCCCTTCTGATTAACAAGGTAAACCATTATTACACAGTGTGTGTGCAGAACTTTAATCATTAGAGATTTCAAGTTATGCAGATATAGTGATAGAGAACAGAAGCTAGGAGAAATATACATTTAACCTTTTTAATGACACATGTCTCATTTATCAAAAACACCAATGCGAATGAATCAGTGGACCAGTAGCGTGTGGCCTTGGGGGCTAGTACAACAAATGGCCTTTTTTTGCACACAAATCTAACTGGTCTCTTTGTGGATGTTCTGCCTGACGTGGCACGTGATGTATGGATTTAAAAGATGGAGTCTCAAAGTATGACATCATATATTCCTATAGCCGCCACCATTATAACCTGCACAAAATAAGGGATCATTCACAGAAAATGTATTCTATTTTCTGTGACTCCACTGTTACCAAAAACAACCGGCTTGTGTTATGAATGTCTTGAGCTCGGTTTAGCTGCCTGGTCAGGCCAGATTCTAGAGTCAGACTAATGGTGATGTGAAGGTCCAAACAGCATTGAGATAGCAGGTTAGCGGCCCCAGTACATACCCACCCAGTGCTGGGCTAGCAAGAGGCCAGTTTGTGCCAGCTGATTCACACTCATAGTTCTAAGTCAGACATCCCAGCACACCTCTCATTACATGTAATCAGCAGACTAATGGCTCTGTGAGAAAGCAGCCAACACCACTGTATGCCAATATCCTGGTGGCCAAGTGTTCTGTAGTCCCCTGGCAAGTCCTTGTTTAAATCTGACAAGAACAAGATGTTGTCATAGAGATCAAACAGCAAAACACAAACAAAAACAAGCAAACCCACAACAGCAAGTAAAAACCCTAACTAGTGTAGGCTGCAAATCCTTTGTCTCCACAGACAGCACATTGTACACCTTGTATTTTCCTGTAGTGGCAATGTGTCCTACCAGGTTTAACCCCTTAAGGACACATGACATGTGTGACATGTCATGATTCCCTTTTATTCCAGAAGTTTGGTCCTTAAGGGGTTAAAGAAAAGTCCACAAAACCATAACAATCAGCTTGGGAGCTCGGGAACTAGCCTTCCTCTCAGCCTATTATAGCATCTCTGGTTTACACAGTCACATGTAAGATCTTCGTACAGTTTCAGAGGCTACAGGTTTAATACACCATTCAGATCATATTTTAACTAGATTTCCATTAATTGCATGTCTCAAACTCACTGTACAGCAGACCACCCCATCCCTCCCCCCCCAATAAATACATAGAGACACGACATTCCGCTTCAAAAGTTATTTCATAGTCTCACATGTTTGCTTTGATAAGTTTTAGTTCCTCCAGGCAAAATGTTTTGAATACAGTTTCCTTTTTTTTTTGTCACAGCAAGACACCGCATAGAATGTGTGTCAGAGTCTCATAATATTGTTTATAGGACAATATCTACAATTACAAAATATAGTGATCCAGATTTAGCAAAAACAACTTGAGAGCAGATGAAAACCTATTTAGAGGGACACTGTAGTCACCTGAACAACTTCAGCCCAAAGAGGTTGTTCAGGTGAGAACTATAGTTTCCTGCAGCCTCTCATGTTAACTCTATTTTCTGAGAAAATACAGTGTTTACATTGAAAGATAGGAACACCTCCAGTTGCAGTCACTTAGAGTGAACCAGAGGGACTTCTGTATAATATGCCTCCATCCACTCAGATCTGCTGTGCACGAGCATCCTGTGATTCAATATCTCCTCCCTCTGCATGCAGACACTGAACTTTCCTCATAGAGATTCACTGATTCAATTCATCTCTATGAGGAGATTGGCCAGGGCTGTGTTTGAATCATGCTGGCTCTGCCCCTGATCTGCCTCTATGTCAGTCTCAGCCAATCCTATGGGGAACTACTGTGATTGGATCAGGCTATGACGTCAGCAGACTGCTTGTTTTTCCTGAGTCTAACAGCATGCAGATTTACAGCTTCTGGCTTGAATACAGTAAGATTTATACAATATTTATGGAGGCATGAGGGGCCCAGGGGGGTCTAAATGGTCGTGTTAACACTATAGGGTCAGGAATACATGTAGTTGCACCGGTGACTATAGTGTCCCTTTAAGCAAGCACTCTATGCACCATTACCATTGCCAAGAGCCTCTGGGTGTTATCCCCTAGTTTTTCGTCAAACCATTTAAGAAATATTTGACAAAATCTGCTCTCTTCCCTGCACCCGAAAGAGCACACCCCTAACCCCCCCCCCCCCTCTGATAAATCAGATGTTACACATCTACATTATCTATATCCATTCCATCCAATCAGAACGATGTTTGGCTGGGAGCTTTTGGGCTGGTTACTTGACTGCTTATCAGCTTAACACTGCCATCTAGGTTGGACAGAATACAGAAATTATTATTAGGATTTATATAGCGCCAACAAATTCGGGCTTTCAGCCTCTCTTGAAATATATTATGCAAACTATGCTCTAAATTCGTACTGCTTTGTTTTTGGGTTTTTTCCTAACTTAGTTCTAGACTAAAACTGGACACAATATTGTAGGAAAACGTAATTTTTTTTATGTTCTGCTGTCCTTTCTCTTTTTTACACTGGTTGCTTACCTGGAACACAGCCCTTTCAGAGTTAATGTTGCAGAAAATGTGTATAGAATATCTACCATTAGAAGGACACACCAAGGCCTGGACATGTTTCAGGCATATGAACGCTCAAGGCATAGTAACAAACTTTGCTTAACGTGCATGCTGGAAGCTATCCAGTTATTGCAAAAATTAATAAATATATTCCGCAAGATACAACTGTTGAAGGAAGAAGCACGTTTCTTGGTATTTGCATGATGAATGCTACAATGCATGCAAGCAGTTGTGGAACCATCGCTTGCCAAAATTCCGACCGTTGGAAAGCATTAAGCTCTAGCGTGCACATGTGTTCAGAATGGCAGATGTACATACTGTGTGTTACATTACAAACAATGGAAGAAATCGGATTGAGGGAACATTGGATTTAGAATGCCAATCATTTTCTTTTTAATTTTTCACTTTTGCATTTTAATTCGTAACTAAATAACTCATTAAAATTGATGGGTTCAGCCTCAGCCTCAAGTTACCCTAGAATCAACATCAGTGTGTTTTCTGCTCATTACTCAGAGTTCACTTTTCTCTATAACCTGGATAGCTTTGAGAAATTAGATTACAGCTTTGATTAAAACAGGTCAGTCAGATTTTTAGTCACCCCTCCACCATCAGCAACCCATTTTCCTTGGACTTCTTTTCTCTATAACGTAGAGGTTTCATCAAACATCTAACACGTAACGGGCAAATTTATTAACATTTTACCTTTGACTGTAGGCCACCTGCATGCCTTCTGTGCCGGTGTACTGCCCACAGTTCCCAGGTGTCAGGCAGGAGGGGAGAGCTGTGCTGTGCTGCTCCCCACCTGCCTGTGTGTAGCCTGGCCGAGCTGTCTGACAGGAAGTGCTCAGTGAGAGAGCACTTCCTGTCAGACTGGGAACCGCAGCAGCGAGCTAGTAGGGGGGAGAGAATGACACACATGGAGGAGTGGAAATTGGAATGACACACATGGAGGGGCTGGGGATGAGACACAAAGTGGCTATGGGGGTTGGGAATTACACACATTGAGGGGCTGGGGGGAGTTTGGAATGATACACATTGAGGGGCTGGGGGGAAATGAGATGCATGGAGGGGCTATTGGGGAGGGAATAAGACAAGTGAAGGGGCTTGGGCGGGATGAGACACGTGGGGTGGAGGGAAAGCAGGGTAATTCTCTCACCTGAGCCCAGTGCTTTCTAGTTACACCTCTGAGTATATACATGGAACTTTTTGTAGCTATAAGACAGCCCACCAGAGCTGTCGATCAAGCAGATGGAATTCTCAGAACATCATGGAAATTCTAGTTCTAGAACATAAATGATCTACCTTTTGGGCACCCTGTCTTACACTTTCATATGAAAGAAAGAGTTCCAATGGTCCATTGAAAGGGGTAACACTACATATGCAGATTAAATATGGGGTAAGAGGCAGAAATGAATAGAGCAAACATCATGTAAACAAACAGTCTCCATGGTTCTCGCTGATTAATCTATCTTTTAACTCAAACTGCTCTTTATTAACTAAGAACTGAAAAGCTGTATCTGGTGAGAGTCACAAGAATTCCTTTACCCTGACCTAGATTCCTCCCTGTATGTCACTGACCAATGTTTAGTATTCCTCACCAGACGTTCATTTACTCACCAGAAAATTACATCTCCTCAACTTTGTATTTTATGCATTTTTTCCCACTGGATGAAGGCGGATATGAAGGTACAATTTGGCCCATTACCCAACAGCTTCCTCTCAGGCTAATACGTGCATCATGTAAGCTGGACACATCACGGCCAGTTAAACGAGGGGGAGATGGAAAAAGATTTAAACAAAACAATACTATGAAGTGGAAAGTGTGAAAGATTTCTGTTCTCCTCCTGTGGAGATTCTTTCTGTTGAGACAGGTGAGCTCATACAGAATTATTAACTAAAGTGAGAATTCAAAGTGAACTTAAGAGATTCTAAAATGTAAGACCAAAGTAGCTGAATGGAAAACAAAGCTGATTTTTTCCTGTTCAACTAGTTTACCTTAAAATTTAAATAAATAAATGTGAATTACATTGGAATTCACCTCGAATCTTCACGTTAGTGATTAATCCTGGTAGTGTTTACAGAGCAAAGTTTATTTTCATACTGATAATTTGTAACGGAACTAATGAGTGAGTTTAGTGTGTAGGGATAAAAAAAAAAGAATACATTTTAATATGATGATTAAATATGAAGATAAAAAAAAAAAAAAAGATACTCGCTTTATGTGGCAGATCTATAGCGACAGCAAATTTTGCAAATTTCTATTGTTGCACACAAATGTGTCAGAGGGTCTTCTTGGACCACAAATTATGCAATTAGCACGTTGCCATGGTGATTTTCAGAATGTATCCATTTTGTCACAGTGAAGATGTTAGATTTGTCAAATAAATAGTGCAAAGCAGTAGTTGTAGAACAGTCACAATGCAAGCCATACTGAATGCTCATCATTGGTTGCCATTGTAGTTTTGCCTCTATAGGAATTTTATACCACTATGGCGGATACCACTAAAACCACCCGAAAGACTATGACACCCCCCTGGTCCTCTGTTTCTCCTCCCCTCCATAGGAGCCCAGCAAGCACCTTTCTCTGCACGTTCTCAACCCAGCTCCTGAGCCGGAGTAGCCTGAACGCGTCAGCTGGACTTATCTGTGGTTGCCCTGGAACTCCAGATTGGCCACAAGTACCACCTTGTCCCAGTCAACATGCTTACTGGTTTTTGCCCCTTTCCCAGTATCCTATGAGAGCAAGCTTTGGAGAAGAGCTGCAATACCTTAGGAGGAACAATCGCTACATATGAACCAGGGGGAGCCCCCCTTTTCCGACCAGAGACCCCGTTAAAGTACCGACAAATACCCAGAACTGCCTGGAACTATTTTCGGCTTAGACCACGCTAGTGGCCGGTCTAAACTTTAACGGGGTGGCTTTCTCCAAACATCTACAGATCAGTTACTTGGACAGATTGAGTACTCCACCGAGAGTTATTTGGGGATATAAGACTTGTGGAGGTACACACTTGTTTTTCAAATGTATGAATTGTGCTAGTGTGTCTCAGTTTCTATTGAAAACAACTATCTAGAATCTTCCGCCGGGTAAAGGAATATCCAAGAGTGCCTACTGCTTTGTCCCTCCAGCTGTTGTCAGGCAGTGATGCGGGCAAGGAGCCACTTTCCCAGCACAGAAACCCTGAGAGGACCAGGATTTGATATCGACAGACATACAGAAAGACAGACACACACTGTATTCACTCGACGGCAACAAACTGCTGGGAACATGAAAATGACTGTCTTTAAAAAAATAATAAATAAATAGCACATGGGGGGGTGGGGGGGAAGCGTGAATCTGTCAATACCCAAGACTTAGTGGATAAATCCATAAACCCGATTTTTCTGAAACAGATTTTCTATGTATTTGGAGCAGAAATGTGTTCTTTATTAGATCGGAATTAGAATTTCTGCAAGCTGTAATATTGATAGAGTATTTCACAGATCCCTTCTCATCTACGCCCAACCTTTCACGCAGAAGATTTATTACTCATAATATTGTATTAAGATGCAATATTGCAGCCTGATTTCTCTACACTGCGATGTGGCCCTATCTGAGAAAACCAAAATAAACACAACGTGTTAAAATAAAGAGAAAAACGCTGGCCCTGGGTCTCCCACATGTACCACCCAAGGAGTGTGCTATTCTATAAACAGCCTCCAGGGCAGCCATCACTATCCTGGGCACTCCAGATGTGTCTGAACTATCATTCACATTAAGCTCAGCCAGCCATGAAGCAGACCAAGCAATCACACAAAACGTAATTCTAAAATGCCTAAGATGCCCAAGACGGCCATCACTGCTATAGCTAGTTGTGGAAAAAGAAAACAAAATACCCCAAAAACAGAAATGAAAAAAACCCACAAGGAATATGCATGTATAGGTGGTTGGCAGCTTAACATTTCCCATTAAATATAAAGTCCTAACAAATACAGCAATAAAGCCGCCAATATGCCGTTTAGGTAATAAAGTCCAACTGATGGGGTAATTCACTAAGGTGGGAATTATGGAACATTCATTATGGGATAACACAGTTTAAGCCACAATAACCAGGCTTTAAATATAAACAAGTTAAGACATTTTTCCAATTTAGTATTTTTTTGCCCTTCCTGTGTCAATTTGCTACAATTCAGTTGTGAAGAATTAAATTGCCAGTTTAACAGAATTGATGCTTCAATAAAGGCAAGATATGCAGGCAGGGGTTTGTGTCTTTGTAATTTGTAGAGTAGATTTTTTCCAGCTAGAATCATAATAAAAACAACAACAAAAATAAAAACACACAAACAAGCAAACAATAAAATAATTGTAACAATTATAAATAAGTGCTGGGATAGAGACTCATTCGGTCTCAATGATAAACAACTTCTCTGTGTTCATGACAGATTACATTGTATCGCTGTCAGTTGATAGTTTTGTAGTTGATATTTGTTGACTAATGACATTGAAACACGAATAGAATGAATGAAGGCTAGGAAACAGATACACAAAGTTACTGTTTACAGTCTTCTAACACAGCGAAAACAAACAAGGAAGAACAGAAACTACTTGTAGTGGGCTGAAGAGATAAGAATTGAACACGATCATATAAAACTATCGCTTCCACTAAAACAATTGTCGGAGTATGTAAAATGCCAGCGGACGTGGTAGGTTGCAGAAACACCTGGGGCTGGAATCCAAAGGAGAACTCAATGACCATTACACTAACAGAGAGATGGGGCATATACCATGACCCTCACCCTTATAGGTTGTGTCCCATCCCCTCTACCCATGAACAATCGTCACACTACCTAATAGAGGGCCGGGCAGCAAAGTTCTATTCTCTAACACCCCCTCTCCACAGTCCCCTGAGGGCACCACCTCCTGCTCCTAAATGGCCTGGCAGAGCACCACACATCTGATAATTATTATTACAGGTGGCTGCTTTTAAAATAACAAAACAAACAAACAAAAAAAACTTCCATATGGCCTGCTGCCCACTCTCTACCAATTGTAGAAATATGGTGTTAAAGAGGCCAACACTCGAGACTTCAGTCCCCAACGCCCATGGTAAACACCATTAGAAGATGAACGTAAAACACATTTATCCACAATAAACACGTTTTAGCATTAAAAATTATTAGTTTATTATATTATATCTAATTAATCCCGTAGGGTATATAATAAGATGTCTAGATGGGCATGTACTGCTGAGAAAAAAATAAGGAAACAAATTGGGGCTTCTCACACAGATCTATTCACTAACCTGTGAATGAATGGAAATCCAAAGTAAAATTACATTTTTACCTAGAATAGCGAAGTAGGAAAAAAAAAATCTCCAAATGACTTGTGTTCCCCATTCGTCTATTTTGATCCTTAAAAGGGACACTATAGTCACCAGAACAACTACAGCTTAATGTATTTGTTCTGGTGAGTATAATAGCTCCCTTCATGCATTTTCATGTAAACACTGTCTTTTCAGAAAAAAGGCAGTGTTTACATTGCCCCTAGGGACACCTCCAAGTGGCCACTCCTCAGATGGCCACTGGAGGTGCTTCCTGGGTCAGTGCTGCGCAGCAGGCAGCCCTGCCATTCAGTGTCTCCACACTCTGCATGGGGATGCTGAATTTTCCTCAGAGATGCATTGATTCCAACAATTCATGCTTTAATGAACAACCCTGAGCAATCCAATCACTCTGGTGAAAGAAGGGACTATAAAACCAGCCCATATTGTCCAATGTGGAAAATTGGACTTTTCTATTGTGACAAACTCTGCTACTTGTTTCCATCATATTATACACGAGTCGTAGAACCTAATTGCGTCAGAATAAGTCAATTCTTTCAGGCTACAATGAGGCTTATTTCCTACACATGAAATGTATTGAATAGTATTGAAAAAAAAAATCCCCAACTTTGACCATTTTTAGCCTAAATTTGACAATTAAAGTGACACTATAGTTACCAGAACAACTACAGTTGATTGTAGTTGTTCTGGTAAGTATAGACAGTCCCTACAACCTAGGTATACGTCCACTGGGCACTCCTCAGATGGCTACTAGAGGTGCTTCCTGGGGCAGTGCTGCCATCCAGCATCTCCACCCTCTGCATGGAGACACTGAACTTTCCTCGTAGAGATGCAATTTAGCCTGGCTGCCATTTTTCCCATGTCCCCAACCCTTGTAACAATCTCAGCCAATCCATAGGGAAAGCATTAGATTACCTGAGATAATCATCCAGTTCTGATGATGTTGGCCAAAGAGGCAGATCAGGGACGAGGCCAGCGCAGCACTGGAAATAAGGCAAGTTTTAACCCATTCTAAAGGGGTCAGGAATACATGTTTGTGTTCCTCACCCTATAGTTTTCCTTTTAATTTTCAATTCAGTACAATTTGGTGTTTAGTTAAGATTCCCCCTATAGGACAACAGCCATCAGTTGAACTATAAATAATAGATCATTGAATTTCCACGGAACTAACACCACTTCAAATAACCATCCTGAACAATTCAAGGGACAGCTAAACAGAGTCAGAGGTTACATGATCAGTCAAAACAAAATCTGTCTGGACACCACTTCACTCAACACTGTCACTTGTCAGGAAGTTCAAAAATCAACAGGATGACCTCCTTTTCTATATATCCATTGTCTGAGTCAGGATCACTCAACCAAAGTAAGAAGAAGGTGTGTAGGTCTAGTCATACCATGTATACAAAACATTCAGGTATATTCTACTGGAGAACATTATGTGACATTTTTCAGATAACTGAAAGTCTATTGCACTTACACCCCACAAAAGCAACAGTACACACCTTGAGACAGATGATAAATTGATTGGACATTACTGTAGGCTAGCAACAAGCTGATTTATAACCTGCAGCTTTGAGGGACAGAGATTTCATGTACAGCTCATCAACATGCACAAATGTTTCCTGAAAAAACTTGGGGTATCTAGCAATCCTAGCTCAGAACTTCTCAGACAGAGCCAGCAATCAGACAACCTGCTAAACAGGCTGATCTCCTGACTGCAATAAATTATTAGAATGCTGGGCTGTGATACATAGTTATCCTCTCCTTGTGGAACAGGGTCATTAAATAAAATAGCAGAGGCACCATCTGTTAGAACAGCTCCCCCTGATTAGTTATTTTCCCATTTCCCCTGCAAACAGGATTCTTTCACCTGTAAAGCTGTTTAATAAATCCATCCATTAAGTCCTATTTTTGTGATTGATTTAAAAGAAAAAGGGAAAAAAAGCTTAGATTCTAAAATCAGTAATGGCAATCACAGGTAGCAGCTGAGTACAGACACATCCATCATTGTACAGTGCTATGGAATCTGAGCTATATAAATAATAAAATAATGATACAATACTGTCTAGCAGGTAAACACATGGGTTAATGCACACACACAGCCCCACAGTGAGCACAGCAATATGAACCTGATCTCTAGCCCAGGATCCCACACTTACCAGGGAAGAGGAGAGATCGCTGGCCTGTGTCTGTCTGAGCCTGGGAGGGAGGCAGCTTCTAGGCTGTGTCTGAAATGCTAGCGGTAGGAGGAGACTGGGAATACAGTGTAGCAGAAAGAAATCATTTGTAAATGAAGAGGTGGAGAGAGAGGACTGCCACATACTCTTCATTCCAACCTTCACAAATGACATCACTCAGTGCAAGCGTCCTACTCACTATTTAACCCCTTCTAGCACTACCAGGGGCATCACTAAAGTGGGAAAATAATTCAAAGTGAAATTTTACATTTTAGATCACAAGAGGAAAATGTAAATGTTCTCCAATGCAGCTAATTCCAGTTCTGCTCCTTTAACCTAAAATGTGAATTCACTCTGAATTTCCAGCAATTCATAGTTTATTGAATAACCCAGTAGTTACCAGATTAGGTAAGGATAAGGATAGGTATGTGGGATTAGGATCTAATGTAAGTGGTCACCTGGGCAACAGAACCTTGTGTTACATTCCTTCTGGTTAAGAGGTTCTGTTTCCCAGGTGACAACTTACATTAGATCCCAATCCCACATGGTTAGTAAGAGCACATATTATTATTATTTTATTATTTATATAGTGCCAGCAAATTCCTTAGCGCTGTACATAGGCAGTGGCGTCTCTAGGATTCATTTTTCGGGGGGGCACATGGAGGGCCAGTGACAAAAGTAGGGGGGCACATTTAACCCCGCCCTTGTTGCAGTTTGACCCCGCCCCTGTCGCATGTTAAGCCACGCCCCCGACACAATGTGTTTCGTTTTTTTAATAATACCTGGTGGAGGATTCATTATTTTCCACCAGGGATTATTTAAAAAACAAACACATTATCCTTGATACAGTGCCATAGTTGCCAACATTTGAAAAAAAAATTCCAAACATTTTGCAGCACAGCTATCAATTACTGTCTGGGTATAATATCCCTCGACAGTCAGTGCTCTCTGTATAATACAGGGTTGTGTGTATAATAAATTGGGACACTCAGTGCTCCCTGTATAGTGCTGCTCTCTGTATAAGACAGAGAGCAGCACTATACAGGAAGCACTGACTATCCCGGGATATTATATACACACAGATCTGTATTATACAGATAGCTGAGCATATACCCCAATCTCTAGACTACTAGTACCTGTCAACAGCAGCTCCCAGACGCGTGTAACAGGGCTAAAGTGTGCGGCAGCTCACACAGATTATTCAGCGGTAAAGTGCACTCCCTGGGAATCCAAAGCAGCCCTGGAAAAAAAACGTATGCCATTCCTACAAGTCAAAATATATATATAGTACAGTAAGCACACAATCTCACTGACATGCGCAAATAGGCTTACTGACAGACAAAACTCTCTGACTCACACACAAGCTTACTACAGACACTCACTTGTATAAACAGAAGGCTCACTACAAAGAAGTTCAGGGACACACACACAAGCTCACTAAAGACAAGCTCACTGACACACACATGCTCACTAAATAGAAGCTCAGTGACACACACAAGCAGTACCATTTTAACAGAGTTAAGGGCCCCTGGGCAAAGCAATGCACTGGAGCCCTTCCTACACAACAACTCACAGGAATTTTAATTATTGATAGACTGCGGAGTCCATACACACACACACACACACACACAGATTGCTGAGTCCATACACACACACATACTGCTGAGTCCATACACACACACACACATACTGCTGAGTCCATACACACACACACAGACTCTGCTGAGTCCATACACACACACAGAGACTGAGTCCATACACACACAAAGACTGCTGAGTCCACACACACACAAAGACTGCTGAGTCCATACCCACACACATACAGACTGCTGAGTCCATACCCACACAGACTGCTGAGTCCATACCCACACAGATTGCTGAGTCCATACACACACATATTGCTGAGTCCATACACACACACACACACACAGACTCTGCTGAGTCCATACACACACACACACATACTGCTGAGTCCATACACACACATACTGCGGAGTCCATACACACACACACAGACTCTGCTGAGTCCATACACACACACACAGACTCTGCTGAGTCCACACACACACACAC